TTTTAAAGTAAGCAAGGACCGGTTTATTGCCTTATAAAGTAAAGCTAGCCCTAAACGGTTTTAAAGGTTATTTTTCGGGCTCGTCGTTACTTTTACCCTTTACCGGCGGGAAGTTATCGCTTTTCCCGGGCCGTATAAAGCCGTAATACGAATTGCCCATACGTAAAAAGCCCGTATTACGCATTTGCTTTGCTTTATAGCCATTTTTTAAAGCATTTGGAATTAAAAATTTGTACGCGTTTGGATTTGGCCCGTCGGCCGAATCCTTTGCGGTTTTAGCTTTTATGGTTACGATAGGACCTAACTTTTTTACCCCCAATTTTTAACCTTAATGCTTGGTAGCAAAAGTAAATGTTTAAAGCTTTTTCGGTTAAAAAAGCCCTAGCGCATTAACAATTCCTTTTTGGGTTGCAAACGGGTTTTTCGTTTCGTCGTACTTAACCAATAAATTATAAATAATTACGTTAATTGGGTCCTTTTTTTGTTTGCCTTTAAAAAAGCTTTTTTTATTAAATTTAACGTTTTTTGTAATTATTACTTTCTTTTTTAACGGGACCCAAATCCGGTAAATGTTAAAAGTTTGGTAATTTACCAAATATTTAACCCCGGCACGAAGGTTAACTTTAAAATGCTTAAAATTCGCGTTATAAAACCTTTTTACATTTAAAGGATAAGCTTTGCACCCGTAAGCGTAAATACCGTTCCAATCCGATTTTAAATTGGTTATTAAACCCGTAAAAAGCTTCGGGGCGTAATGCCAAAACCACCCCCGAAATTAATTTAAAAAAATATCGTTGGAAGCGTGCATGCTTTTTAACGGTAAAAAATTTATATTTTTTAACCAAACGGCAGCGTAAACCGTTTCCGGCTATAAATGCTTAAAAAATCCTGCGCTTTTGCGTATGCGTATCCCTTTCGTAATAACGTTTTATCCCGTACGTTCGATTATTCCGTTAAGCTCGTAAGTGTATAACGGTAAGGTTTCGATAATAATGCTTTTAGCTTAAGCCCATTTTTTGTATTTCGAAAACCTTTTTACAAATATAATGGATTTTTTTTGGTCGTATTTAAAAGTAATAACAAGCAATCCGTATTATTTTTTTATTTACGCTTTCCATTTTTTTAAAATTTTGGTAACCGTTGGTCCCTTTTTGTTTAAAAGTATAAAGTTCCAGGTTTTGCCGTTGTATTTGTCCATTAATAGCAAAACCCAATTTATCTTTAACTTCGATTTAAAATAATTAAATTGGTTAAATTAAACTTTCCAAAAAAGGCGTATAGCCCTTTTTATAAAGCGTTTGGAAACGACGGTTATAGCATAAATTGTTGCGCATGCTTCGCACTTAATCCGCTTGGGTCCTTTAATTTTAACGTTCCGGGCGTTCCAAACGAAAGCTTTTAGCGCTTGTAATTCCAAATAACCATTACGCAAGTACTAAAAGTCGGCGGTATTTTTTTGCGGTTTCGTAAAATCCGAAAATGGACGTTACGTATACGTAATACGCTTGCGGCGTAAAAATTTTTTAATTGCAAAGGTTAAAACCGTATCCTTTGGAAAAAATTGTAACGTAATTAATACAAAATAAATAACAATAAGCTTGTATTTATAAAACATTACGTTATTTTTGCGCTAAAAACGCTTAATTACTTTTTCGTCGGTAACCTTTTTAATGCGCAAAATCGCGTTTTTCCCGTAAAACCATACCTTTTTGGCGTTTAAACGGGCTTTCGAAATAATATTAATATAAAAGCTTTTTATTAAAGCAACGTTATAAAGCTTAAGGTTTTCGCTTCCGTTTAAAAAACCAAAAAGCGTACGAATGCTACGTCCCAAAATCGAAAGGTATTAAGTGCCGCATTAAACCGTTTTGGTACCGTTTAACGATTAAAACGACCTTTCGTCGAAACGCTTTTTATCGTTAACGATATAAAGCGAACCGCAATTATCGAATAGCGTGCTTTCGAAATAAATATTTTTTATAATGTCGAAAGCCAAAAAAACGCTTTAAAACAAAGGCATTTTAAATACGGCCGCGTTTAAATCCCATTTTTTTTTAAAGTTCGGGAACCGGAATTTAACGCGCTTTCGGCTTGTTTCCCCCAAACGGAATTTTTAAATTTGCTTTTGGAAAGGAAAAATTTTTTAAATAATTTTTAACGGTTTTTTTCCAAAAAATTTTTAATTTTTTTGCACTTTTCGTTGCTTAATTTGTTGCAAAAGCGTTCGGAATCGCCGGTAAGCACGTAAACGAGCTTTTAACAATCCTTTGGCTTTTAAAAATAATTTTAAATGCAAACCGGGCATTTGTACGTTATCGCGTTATTTTGCTAAATGTTTTTAACTTTTTCGTTTTTATTTTTAAATACGCCCCCGAAGGTTAAAAACGCAAGCTTTTTTTTGGTGCCCGAATTATTAATACGGTGCTAAAAAAAAATCGTTAAAAATTTAATAACCAAAGTATCCATTTTTCCCGTAAAGTCGTTCGTAAATACTTTTTAACGGTAACGCTTTGCTTAAAAAGGGTTAAAACGTTTTATGTATTTAAAAAAATTAAACATAGGCGTAAAGTTTTGTATTTTAAAAACGTTTTTAATTTTGGCTTAAATAAAAATCGCTTAAAATTTTGGAAACCATTGGTTAACATTTATAATGCTAGCGGCCTTTTTAAACGTATTGCGGTACTTTTAAAAAATTATTTAAATTTCCATTATGGAAATGGGAACGTAAAGCGTTTTTAAGCAAATAATAATGCTACGAAAAATAACGTAATTATTAGTTTAAGCTTTTAATTGCGCGTTTGCAAGCGCGACAAAGTTTACGGAAAAGTTAATTCATTTGGAAAAGGTTGTAATCTTTTTCGAAACGGTTTTGCTCGCGGTATCCTTTGCTTTAAGCGCTTTTTTGTGCTTGGCTTTAAAATTACCTTTGGTAAAAACCGAAAGGGCTTGGAAAAGCTCGGGATTAAATCTTTGCGTAATTTCGCTTTTGCTTTGCCAAACTTTTAAGCAAGCCTTTTTCTTTTCGGTTAAAAAGATCGTTTGCCAAACTAAGCGTTTAAATTTATGGTTTTTAACGTATTTAGCCCGGGCCTTTGCTGTAAAAAAGTTAAAATCCAGGGTTTTGTTGGCTTATATATCGTTCGGGGATTTTAAATTAAGGTTAACCTGGTTCCAAATCTTTAGGATTAATGCGTTTTAACGAAACGCCGTAAATTACGTAAGCCATTGCTTTTAATTTTTAAGTAGCGCTATTACGAAAAAATCGTTATTCGTGCTACTTATAACTGGTAATAACCGGAAATTCGTAAAAATAAAGCGGTAAAGGACAAAAGGTTGGAAACTTTAAAAGCGTAAAAACGTAAAAGTTAAAAAAGTGGAATTTAATAAAGGTTTTCGGCAACGTTCGGAATTAACAACCAAATTTGCTTCGGCAAAAAAAACTTTGTCGAAAAAATTTTTGGAAGCGTAAAAATTTTTCCGTAAAAAAATTGCGGAAAAGAAAAAAAAGATAAACGCGCTTAAAAAAGCGCGTTTAAAAACGATTTAATAAAAGTAATGAAAAAGGAATAAATCCGTATTGCTAAACCTTTTACTTTACGTTAAAAGGTTTAAAAGTTGCCGGGCTTATAATTGTTGCAAGCAAAAGGGATAAGCACGGTATAAGGCTATTCCGGTTAATATGCTTTAAGGAAAAAAGGATTTAAAATGCAAGGTCCCGTAAGGGCCTTTGCCCTTTATATACACGTAATTCCCTGTCCTCCTTGCTTATTAAGCTTCCCTTTTAACGCTTGGAAGCGTTATACGCTTCCAGGCAAGGGGACCGCTTTTCCGATGCTTTAAGCATTTAATATTTATGCTTAAAGCTTCCTCATAACAGTATATACTATTTACTTTGTAACATAAACGCATTGTAAATTTCCCGTTGCTTTGCTAACGTGTTATCGGTATTTAAAAAAGAAATTAGTTTGGATTTTACGGAAAGGTTTTACCCGTAATTAGCAAAAAACGGTAAAATTCCCGTTATTTTCGATATTTAATTATTGTT